GCCCCCGCCCCTCCGGCTGCCCAGCCCCATTGCCGCCGCAGTGCACAGCCAGGAGCACCCGCCCCCTCCGCCCAGCCGGCACAATCTGGGGAAAGGCTGCTGCTTGGGCCGCCTCTCTGAGTCCAGTCGAGAGGTCGACTCTGAGGCCCCCCCGGGGCACCGACTGCAGCGCGGGAGGGAGGGAAGGGAAGCAGGAAGACAGGCGGGCGCAGGAGGTGGAACGGAGGCCTTGGAGGGTGGTGGACCTTGGTGCTTCCGGGCAGCACGCCGCCGCTGCCGTCTGGATGGCTCGAGGGGGTGCCACGGCGCCTGGCTCCATGGAGAGGGCGCTCCTCCGGCTCCTAGTGCCGGGAGCGTGCCAGGCTCCTGCGGCCACCCCTGCCTCTCATCCTGCACCCTAAGGGCCAGCCCGCACTCTAGGCGAATGCCTAGTTCGCCTAGCGGGTGAGCCGGCCCTGTTTACAATACAGGTGCAGCGTACCTGCAGCTATCTTGATTCTCAGGATTCTGTTAGGTCAAAAATGCTGCCACATAGTGTATCCACTGTCCACATGGAGGTACTAGTTCAAGGTTTCCCTTGCTCAAAACCCAGTTGAATCCGATTCTAGGGGGTGGTGCTCATCTCCATTTCCAAGCTGAAGAGCCAGCGCTGTCTGAAGACTTCTCTGTGGTCATGTGGCCGGCATGTCTAACCGCCAGGGCGCATGGAAAGCTGTTACCTTCCCATCGAAGTGGTACCTATTTATCTACTTGCAGTTTCTTGCTTTCGAACTGCTAGGTTGGCAGGAGCTGGGGCCAGAGACGGGAGCTCACTCTGTCACATGGCACTCGGGTCTCGAACGGAACTACAGACCTTCTGGTCTGCAGCTCAGCATCTTACCCTCTAAGCCACCACGGCCCTTATACAGATGTTATTTTCAGGGAAGCTGAGTCAGTCTGCAAGGTCTAACATTTATATGATGCAAAAGCTTGAATCTTTGATGTTGCAGCTAAGGCTTTAAAACTGCTACTGATCAAACGTCATTGCATCTGTGCTAGGTTTGAAATACAGCTGCTTTTTTAAAAAAATCCATGCATATAATTACATTCTTGTTCATTATGGTAAAGACACAATAAACAATGCCATCCTAAACAAAGTTACACTTTTCTAAGCAGATTGATTTAAATGGGTTTTGAAGGGTACAACTCTCCTTAGGATTACACTGTAAAGGTGCAGCCAAACATAGTGTATTTGATATCCTGACTGTTATGTACACAAAGGTCAGTTACATGCAGTAATCCATAATGTTAAAAGTATGTTCCTGTTTCTTGTATTCAGAATTATCATACCATGGTCGTTTATATTTTATTTAATTTTTTATGCTGCCTTGTCAAAGACCTGCTTGAGGCAGGTCATAACTAAAACAGTTCAGTAAAATACAGCCATTAAAAAGAAGCCAGAACATAAATGCATACCATTAAAATCAAGCCAGAGCATCCACATTATAAGTGGATGATGACTAAATATTTGCAACTGAAATGCAGGAATTTAGTGCAGTCAGAATGGCAGCACTATTTTTCCAGGAAAAAGGCAACCCCATGTTTGTACCTACCAAATTATGTACCTACTCCTTTGTAAAGTCTGAGGTTGGATCAGTCTTATGAGTCAAACGGGATACCCTCTACTGTTCACACACACCCTTGTAACTTTTGTGGCCTGTGCTCCCCCCCCCCCCCCCCCCGTCTTGCTTTTGACCTTTCATGCATTTGACTAGGATCATCCCAGTCACTTCTACTTGTCAGAGTTCCTTAAGGGCACAGACAAGCTTGTCATAGGGGGGAGGGGAACTTGTATGGCAGTACATGTCAACACGTATAACAGTGGGTAGAATCTTACTTAGGCCTGCTGTAAATTCTGTACTGGCTCTGTTGTAGGCTGTTGGAATTATGTTAATAAAAACAAGCAAAAATCAGAAAACTGGTTGCCCTGTGCTTGTCGTGTTCAGGTTGTTGTTTTTTTAAAGTGGAGAACTTGGGATAGATGTTGGTTTTACACTTTTTAGAAATAATGAATTATGGGCTATTTGAATAGGAGACTTGTTGGAGAAATCTTGTCACAGAAATCTGCTCCTAGATGTGGCTGTCAACTGTTCAGCATGATTACAGAACTAGAAGTACTCATGATTCTGCATTTACTCAAAAAGAAGGTGACCCTGAATGTAAGACGGCCATCCTCCCAGCCTAGAGTTAAACACACAGGTTTTTTTAACGACATAACTAACTTGTATACGAATGTAAGACAACCCCCTCTTTTTTATGGCATACATAAGAACATAACATAAGAGACGCCAATGTTGGATCAGGCCAAAGGCCCATCCAGTCCAACACTCTGTGTCACACAGTGGCCAGAAATACCAGTGGGGCCAGGGTAGTTGTGTATTGGAGTAAATACTGCATGTTCTGATGCTCACAGTAAATGTATTCCCCCCCTTTTGAAAGCTCCTTGGGAAACTACCAATAGAAGAACTATATACTTTATGATGCCACTGGGTCCCTGGAGGCAATAGGATAGTCAGACTGTGGTGGGTTTCTGCTATCTGCTTAACTACCACTCTCTTAGCCTAGCCTACATTTACAGCAGTAGTTCCTGAACAGCTGGTCAGGAACCGGAAGTGGATGTAATTTTCTCACAGGTTGGTTGCAGAGAACAGCAGGGAGGAAGAGTAACAGAGGCTGCGGTCACATGGAACATTAGCCACGCTACAGAGACGGAAGATAGGTGGATTTTCTGGGTGCGATCACACCACCACATCTGGGAAGCGTAGAGCTCCCGTGCCGAACCCGAGGCTTCCCGCCGAAGATGCGGGGTAAAAAACTAGTACCTCCGAGGTACTAGTTTCCGGAAACAGCGGGGCAAGGGCGGGCACCTGATCGCGTTTCCGGTGGAATCCCATGGCATCCGGCGCCCGCCCATGTCCCATCGCGAACAGGTTTTTTCCCCCCAACTCTCCACAGGATGCGCACGAGCGCCCAACGGCGCATGTGCACAAAGAGGCCCCCTCCCACTGCAGCCAGGCTTGCCGCCTCTGGAGGGTTGCTATGGCCACTGTCGCGCAGGCGGTTAGAGCGGCTGTGACGAGGGCCCCCCTCCCCCTCCATTGGCTATGCCTCGGAGCTCTGTTGGGGTCCGGAAGCGTCTGTCGCCCTCTCCGGTAAGCCCACCGCCCGCCTTCGGATGTGCAGATACGATTGCTCAGTAATGCGTATGCACAAACTTCAGTTAAAAAAAAAATCCATCCCGTTTGCCACGGAAGTGGCGCCTAGCGATTGCTGGTGTGATCGCGCCCCACCGCTTCTTTGCCGCGCTGCAGGATCATCATGTGATCGGCACCTGCCCCCTAACCACGGGACCTCCACGGAACTGATCGCGCAACTGTGCGTTATTTTCCTCCGGGGCAAACAGCCACGCTCCCCCCCCCCCGCATTTTCCGGCCGGTATGACGGGGCCAGAGTTAGCAGGAGGAAGGAGGCGGCTCTGGAAAGCTCCATGGTAAATAGCCATGGTACATCAGTTGCTATGTGTATAAATGCTAAAAATGTATAAATGCTAAAAGTGTAAATATGTATAAATGCTAAAAGTGAAAAACATGTTCAGTGTCGACAGATGTGAAATTCCTGTGTTATGTCAGGAGCAAAGGAGTGTGGACATACTTTGCAAGTGGGCCTGAAAACCACAGTAAATTTTGAAATAGGTCCTTCAAAGAAGAGTAGGTTTAGAAGTGGGTCCCTTTACAGGCTTTTTGTGAATATAAAAAGGGTGGGAGAAACAGTGTTACTCTGTGCTTCCTGGAGTAAGTGGAAGAATATAAGAACTATTCTTGCATAGCACTAATTCGGGGTAATACTGGTAGTATAATAAAACACTATAAATGAGAGTTTTATAGCTGAGGGGTAATACATCTAAAAAGATGCACAGGTAGGGTTGCCAGCTCTGGTTTGGGAAATTCCTGGAGATTTTGGTGGTGGAGGGTGGGGCTTAGGGAGGGGAGGGACCTCAGCAGTGTATAATGCCATAGAGTCCACCCTCAAAAGCAGCCTTTTGCTCCAGGGGAATTTATCTTAGTCATCTGGAGCTCAACTGTACTAGCGGGAGAGCTACAGGTGCCACCTGGTGATTGGCAACCCTATGCACAGGGTTAGTGGATTTTGGATACTGCGTTGGGGGGTTGCAAATGTAACTGTCACAGAGCAGCAGCCAACCTCTTGTCTTTCCCATCTTCGCTGTTGTAACGTTAACACACATTTTGAAGCATCTCTTTTCTGCTCTTTTCGAGTCCGATCGGCTTTCCCCATCTACGGGCCGACCGACCAACCAGGAGATCCTCCTTTTCTACTTCTCGGCCACCGTACTATGCCGGTGTTGCCATGGCCACGACGTCCTCACGCCTTCAACGCGGAGACGCGTTCGGTGTTTCCATGGCGACGGGGAAGGCGGCCTTATTCGCGTCTGCAGTTTCTATAGCGCTGTAGCTGGGCGTTCTTGCCTGCTGAAGTGGAAAGAATCATGCCGCAATGGCCGCTGCTCCGAGCGCTGCGAGGCGGTCGTGACACCCGCTCGCTTTCGCTAACCGCGCGACATCTGCACCACCTGCCCTGGGGCTTAGCCAAAATGAAGGCGCTGGAATGCCTGAACTTGCGGGACAACAGGTTGTGTCGGCTGCGCCCGGATATGGAGGCTCTGAGCCGGGTGAGGTTGCCCCGAAGAGACCTCGTTGTCCGAGGCAGCCTCTCCGTTTATGTCCCTTTAGTCTTTCACCCAACCTTGGTCGTTTAAACTCGGGACTAGGATTGTCGCTGTTCCATACGGCTGTGAAGAAAACCGCGCCATCTACGCCGCACCGGCTTGGCCACACAAGAAAATCCAGCAGTTGTCACTGACTGCTGTAGTGCAACAATATGCGTTATCCAATGATGTGTGGATGCAAATGTTAATCATAACCCCCCCCCCCTTTCCCTTTTTTTTTTAATCAGCAGCCGACAAGATAACATTAAGCCGGCGCGCCACTGGCCCTATCTGCAGTGAAGTCTGCACTCCTACAAAAGAGTAGTTAAGTCAGAGTTGTGCTCTAATAGGCAACTAACTGCTGGTAAACGATTTGGGCCCTGTAAATTTTGTTATTCTGAAAGTACCACTGCTCAGTTATGATAAAAGGTACCCTAAACCCTTCATAGAGAAGAGAATTACACAGCGTTTATAGCTAGTTGCACATGTATTCACCCTCCTTGAAGTATTTATTATAAGGCCTGTATATCATCGTGGTCTTTAAAGCTGTGATTTCGATTTAGGGTCTTAAATAAGAGATGCTCATTCTGTGAACAATTTGGGTCTTATTGTCTTACAAGAAAAAAGAATCTTAAAAGACTTGGGAGCCGCAGTCTAGCTATTTAAAATACTTCTGCAGCTTGACAATTTTTGTTTATTATAAGGCTTTATCTCAGCATTAAATTCAAGGCTGTAATTGATAATGTGATAAAGATGTTACATTTTTAATGGCTGCAGACAATGAGAAGAGTGTTAAAGCTTGGTTGGTTTCAATAGAAGAGATTTAAGCACATGCTGAATTTACTGGAATTGTGAAATTGAGAAGTCCCTGACTTTACCAGGACTCTGCTCATTAGTTTCTGAGTCTTGTATCAGTTTAAATCAGGATAATCTACAGTCGTACATCGAATAATGTAGAAGGTACTCACTGTGAACGGTTGGATGGGGAGGGTGTCTACATCTTTCATTCTAAGCCTCTGTTTGTTTAACGGATTGTAAAAGTGGTTATGGAATTTTATTTTTATGACATACTCAACGTTGGCAGAGTTGTAATTCAACCTAGGACTAATATGCACTTGTTGAAAACCAACATTAAAAAAAATATCCTGGTAACACTCAAATTACTTAAAAAAAAATTCACAAAGCCCCGTGACTGTGGCAAGAAAGTGTGTGTTTTTCCATAATTGTAAAATATTTATGCTTTATGCAGAAAGCAGTGTTGTTGAAAGTGTTGGCTATACCACAGTATATTATTCTGAGAAGTGCTCTGCCAGCTTCCTTTCTTGGAATGTGAGCAGAGTGATGTTTGTGGTATAATGGACTCAGGTGCAGCTGCATCTGGTTCCTACAGTTTGTCCTTTCTAACTCATGATGTGGGTGGGAAATAGAAGCTTTCCTTGGCCATTCCAACATGCAGATCATTTGAAAAGCTATTTCGTAACAGAATTTGGGAGCTTACTGTTCAAAGAAAAGTAAAATTAAAAAGTAATAAAAAATTGTATTGAACATGAGCAAACCCTTGGATACATACACTTATAACTCTTTGGATGTCAACCACAGCACTGGGAGGGCCCAAAAGCTAACTAGTCCAACCAACGTTACAAATATAGGGTAAAACCATAGCAAACTATGGGCAATAAGCAGGTATATTACAGAAACACACCTGCAACCAAAATACTTGCAGATTTCTCAAGCAAATGAGCCAAACCACATTCTACAACTAAAGGCAAAATCTCAAGATTTGGACTAGCCACTTCGTCCTCAGGGAATACATCATTTTAACCAAAGATAATGTTCAGTCATCATAGCCTGTGCAAAACTCACCAACAAATCATCCTGGGGGAAATTTCTGAGCTACTTTTACATTCAGTTTCTAGTGTGTGGTACTTCTGGATTTTTTCATCACTAACAAATACTAAACAACAGCTTTCTATTTGTTGTCAGTAGCTAAATCTTGGGGTTGTTTTTGCCTGAGAGAATAACGTGATCCATCTGTTATAGCCCATTTCTTAATTTGAAAACTCAGTAGAAGGTGTTAGTAGTAGTAATATACAAGTTGGGACTCGGGAGTCCTGTGAGAAATTGGGTGTGAGGAGGGAATTATTTGGAAATCCCACCCCACCCAAATTTCTCTCTCTAGGATTCTCCACTCCTGGGCAATGCTCCCTCTAAGCTGTGGAGTCTTATGATCAAACATTGCTACTGTGTGAGCTACTGGCATTAAAGTTGTGAGCAAGCGATTTGGCTACGGTAATAATTAGTTTGCTCTGGAAACATCCTTCCTGAGCTAAGACAAAAATGTGTGAGCCAGAGGCTAAAAAATTGTGAGCTAGCTCACACTAACTCAGCTTAGAGGGAACACTGCTCCTGGGAGCTTGAGTAGGATAAAGTTTATAGGATAAAGTTTATAGGGTAAAGTTTCATTTACGGTCGAAGCCAGCAGTTAACATTTGAAACACTACAAACTTAGTAGTAAAAAACACCTATGAGTAAAGGTAAAAAGGCTTTACAGAACAGTAAAATGCATTATAAAATACATAATAAATTCCTTAGGAGGTAGACAGTTAACAATAAAACGATTAACATTTAGCTTGCTGTGTTAATATAGATTTTCTAATTCTTAAAACACTCCATCCAAATCTAGCCACTTGGTGTGTTACCTCCGAGTGCCTATCTGAGAGGAGGTTTTTCATAATACGGGCTCTTTGCTTACTGGTTAGAAGTAAGAACTTGGGGAATGAAAGAGATTTCCGGAGATTATTATAGGCCTCACAGTCGAACATAACATGTTCTAGATTTTCAATGCCTACATTACAGCAGGGGCATATGCGTTCCTCGAATGGGATTTTCTTATACTTTCCCTCTGTATTTGCTAAGGGAAGAGCATCCCAGTGCATAAGTGTAAATGTTCTCCTATATTTGTGGTTTGACAGATGGGGCTTGAGTAAGATAATGCCTTTTTAATGGCCCCCCCCCCCCCCCCGATGCTTAGCTGTTCTTCAATTTATATGCTTCCTGGATAATATCAGACTTGGTGGGATAGTTGCTTTTTCTTTTGATTAATTTACAAACTCATATTTTTCTGAATCCCCAGGAGTTCTCAGGATATGTTAACACCCCTGTCTTGTCTGTGGGTGGCCCCAGTGTGCTGCTTTTGTTATTTGTACACAGAGATCAAGCTTACCATTGTGGTGATGTGCAAGTACATTCATACCTTTTGTTTTAAAAATAAAACATTGTTGCATTCTTGATTCTCTAGATGTAATGTTATCTTTAAAAAGTGGTAACACATGTATGTATCATAGTTGTCCTAAAAATGAGATCATTTAATTGAGCATCTGATTATAGTTGAAGGTACTAAATTTGGGAAACAACATGTTTGAGGACGTTCCAGAGCAGCTGACATGCCTCAAATCTCTACAGAAGCTTTATTTGTTTGGAAACAACATAACCAGAATGTCACCCTTAGTATGTGGTAAGATCATAACAAATCATGTCAAAATTAAATATTGTGCATAAGTAATATTTTCCCAATTTAAGAAAGCTGATCACTTGTGTGAATGCATTTGTGTCTAACTCATTTGTTATGAGGGCTGGATTTGACATAAATTGGACTTTGTTGAGCCGAGCCATGTGTGTCCTAAAATGTAATGCCAGGTAGCAGAGATATAAACCTTATAAAGGACACAGAAAACAATTAAAGATATTATAGCAGCTATTCCATTGGAGCCCTACATTAGGAAAGTGTGTGTGTGTGTGTGTGTTAAAACTAATATTTCTCTGCAAACTGAAGTCCTTTGTTGAACTCTATATTTTAACTGTGGTTAGTCTCAACCCCCCTCCTTAAAAATATAAACTACACATATAAATGGTCTGAGCCTAGGAACCCGGGGGAAGAACATGTCACAGCTGAGCATTGCAAGTCCCCCCACCCCCGCACCAGGTCTACTTAGAGTGGCCGTGACTCTCCAGGGTCTCAGGTTTTGTTTTTTTACTGGGTAGTTTGAGATAATAATTTAGAGTGTCCTCTTCAACACTTGTTCTGCTATTATTCCTTTGGAGCTCCAAATCAGGAGGGCATGTGTGTTAAAACTAATATTTCTCTGCAAAACTGGAGTCCCTTGAGTTTGAAGGACTCTATATTTTAACCCTGGCTGGTCCCAAACCTTCCCCCCTCCCCAGTGCCCTTAAAACATGCCTGCCTAAATTGGAAAGGTGGGGGAATAGTGGGATTTTGCAAAGCAAGTTTTAAAAAGCACAAGGATCACAGTAGAAGGACATCCCCCCCCACTCCTACTTGTGAGGAGGACAACAGTGGCTGGGAAGTTTGGCGGCCCTGCCCTCTGCTCAGAGGCACCCCCGCCCTCTGCTCTTTATACTCCCAGGCAGCTCAAGCTCAGAACAGTGAGGATGGGCAGGGGAGGGGGGGAGAGAAGAGAGCCCCACTCCCAGGCTGGATTAAAGGCCTGGGTGGACCAGTTCTGGCCCTCGAGCCGTTTGTTTAACACCCCTGGCATAAACTGTACCCATTCTTGTTTATTCATAACCCCATTGTGTTCAGTGTGGTTCTGTCAGGTAAGTGTGCATAGGATTGCATCCAAAACAAAAAATGTCTTTCAAACAATTGGTTCATCTGTCATTCAAAGATATACATATTTAATGAATTAGCAGTGTTGCAGCAGTTGTCATCTTAGAAGAAGCATTACCTATTCTGAGAGAGAAGAGAGAAGTCTGTCCTGAGATAGTATCTTCTATCTATGGTGTTTGTAATACTTATATGTACAAATAAAACCCCCCAAAACTTTTGTTTGATTAGCCAAGGGCAGTGTTGTTGGGGGGGTTTTTTGTTGATCAATCAGCTAAACATTGTAGAACTAAATATTACATCCATCTGGCAGTAATTACTTAAAATGTGGGGAATTATTTTGTTAAGAGTACAGTGTGTCTCTAATGGAGCATCTTTGTTAAAATTTACCATGCCTGCAAGCATTAATGAAATTAACTATGACATACAAACAATAGCTAGGGATCACAGTTTGAAAACAAAATTGTTTCCTTAATATCCAAGTACAAAAATCGTTAATACACAACTATTAAAATAATGTATGAAGAACAAACACTTAACGTAATGTTTCTTTATAGGTGGACTGCAGAATTTAGTGCTTCTAAATCTGAACAACAATCAGCTTAGCTATCTTCCTCCAGAGATACACAGGTAACTTCGATTTCTACATGGTTGAAGCTTCACCTGAACTGGCTATATACTAGGGTTACCAACAACCTGGAGAAAAAAATGTCATGCACCTTTAACAAAATGTGTGGAAATGGACAATTAAAGCTTATGATGGCTCAGAGGAAAATAAGACCACCTGGTAAATAACATTCCCTTATGCCTCTGTTAAACAGACGGAACATTTTTCTCTCTCCAGGTCTCTGACAATTCTACTATATCCTGTGCAGATTTTCTTAATAGCCAGTATGTCCTGGTATGAAATTCTGTATCTGGTCATGTTTATTTGGAGAAAAGACACAAGAACTGTGGCTTTTTAACTTTTTGTTAATGTTCAGACCCAATTAATTGACTATCTGTGTATGACAGAAAGATCACTAGATTTTCAAGTTTCTCCTATCGGTAAAGTGCATCATTGTTATTGATGTTTTTGTTGTTGTGTAGAATTGCATATATCATTGCCACCTTGAGTCCAAGTGAGAAAGGCAGACTGGTGTGTCTGCTGATGGCAGGGCTTTCACTTCATCTAGGGCATGTATAAGCTAGTTGGGGTGTAACAAGAGACAGTGATTGACAAGGGGGAGAATGACTTGACTAGACCATGGCTGCTTCCACATGGAGACCATTCCCTGTGTAGAGACCCAGGTTCCAATCCCCGCTTGTGCCGTGGAAGCTGAGTGACCTTGGGCCAGTCACACACTCTCAGCCTAACCTACCTCACAAGGTTGTTGTGGGGATAAAACAGAGGAGAGGAGAATTATGTAAGCCCCTTTGGGCCCTCATTGGGGAGAAATTAAGGTCATGCTGTTGTGAATGCCGAGGACATGGAGCATCCATACAGCAGCCACTTCCTAGCACTTTCCTTGTGTCATTCCCTTCCCTGCCACTAGAGGGCTTTTCTTGGCTTTTTAAAAAAGTCAGTAATTGGCCTATTGAAATAGCATAATAAGCCCTAACCTGGCCTGGATAGCCCCAGCTTACCTGATCTCATCAGATCTTGGAAGCTAAGCAGGGTTGGCCCTGGCTAGTATTTGGATGGGAGACCTCCAAGGAACACCCAGTTTGTGGTGCTGAGCCAGGCAATGGCAAACCACCTCTGAAGGTCTCTTGCCTTGAAAACCTCACGGGGTCGCCATAAGTCAGCTGTGACTTGACAGCACTTTCCACCACCACCACAATAGCATGATAACATTCTAATGATCTATTGCAACAATGTACTGGTTTCCAGCTTTTATTTTAAAGTCTCTAGCCCCTTTTCTTATAAAGGGGAAATAATCAACTTGCTCATTTTGCCTGATAACTCTGCAAAGAAAAGGGCTAGAGATTGACTTTTTGTTACTTAATAGATGCTCCCCCAAACAGCACTGCTGTAAAGAATTCAAGGTGGAGCAAAACATCCATGTGGGAACTGCCCAAATGAGTTGGTGGTGTGGAGGGTCAGGCAGACAGGCAGTTAGCCGGCTAAAGAGCAGTCCTGCTTGTTGTCATAGTATGGGTGGATCTGGAGAAAACAAGATAATGCAGAGATGGAGAACAGACTGTCAGCCAGGGACATAGCCCCCAACAGTAGAGAGATGGGAGGCCCTCAATAGATATAGGGGGTTCTGCTGGAGCCCTCTAAAGCAATAGGTGAGAAGTCCCAGCTGAAGAGCAAGGGGAAGTATTTCAAGACCTTCTCTAAATCCTCCTATGTTTGCATATGAGAAAGTAGACAGCCTCATCCAGGGGTCCTTCTCATATATGTGCAAGAAACCCCATATCTTTCAGGAGTGCTCTGCAGTGCTGTATTCTTCTTCACAGGTGTTATCTCCCCTGTTTCAGCTGCCACTGTTTAAGAGAGAGGGCCATCCACTTCTTGTATTATGTGGACAGTGATACAGCCCCCCCCCCCCCCCCCCCCCCCCTGGCTTTTCTCTCCATTATAGGTTACAAAGGCAGTTGTGCCTTGCCAAAAGTAAGAACATAAGAGTGCCCACAAGTTCTTGTATTGTGAGAAAGGGAGAAAACTACTTCTTTCTCAACCTGCTGTATCCCATGCATAATCTTGTAAACCTCGATCATGTCACCCCTCAGCCGTCGTTTCTCCAAGCTAAACAGCCCCAAGCATTTTAACCTTTCTTCATAGGGAAAGTGTTCCAACCCATTTATCATTCTAGTTGCCCTTTTCTGCACTTTTCCCACTGCTATAATATCCTTTTTGAGGTGTGGTATTCCAAATGAGGTTGCACCACTGATTTATACAGGGGCGTTATGATACTGTCTGATTTGTTTTCAATTCCCTTCCTAATAATTCCCAGCATAGCGTTGTAAACTGAATTGTTAAAACTGCTCCTACATGTTCCAGAATTTTGAGAGTTGGTGTGGTGTAGAGATAGAGTGTCCCGCTAGGAGCTGAAACAACTGGGTTTGAATCCCTGGTCTGCCCTGAAAAGCTCAGCAGGTGACCTTGGGCCCATCACACACTTTCAGCCTAGCCTACCTCATAGGGATGTTGTGAGGACAAACTAGAGGATGGGAGAACGATGTGATGAGCTGCTTTGGGTCCCAATTAGGTAGAAAAGTGGGATATAAATAAAATTAATAGTTTATTGTGCAGCAAGGGAACAGATGTATAGCCAGACTAATTAACAGCTTCCAACTGTGCATCTGTGTAATTAAAATCTGTTTGTATACAAGCACTGCACAACATACCAAAGCAAGAGAGATTTGGGGGTTAATATACCACTGTGTTTTTTTTCATAGGCTTGAAAATCTTGAGTGCCTGAGTTTAAACAATAACCAACTGCAAAGTATCCCCAGAGAGCTATGCTGTCTCCGAAAGCTGCGTGAGCTCCATTTGACCCACAATTCTCTCACAGCACTCCCTGAAGAGATTGGACACCTGACAAAACTCAAAATCTTGAGCTTGTCAAGAAATCAAATAGAAGAGCTCCCTGAAGTGAGTGGCTTTGTGCCTTGGGGAACTGCCTCTTCTTGTCACCATTCAGAAATTTTTCCTTGACTGCAGAAGAATAATTTTAAGTGGTTTGGTTATTTCAGTCTTCCGTGAGCTGCCAATATATATATTTTTTCGTGGAATAGATATGATAAATCAAAATACATCTGTTGTTAGATTGGATTGGGGCTGATGCACAAGTCCAGTTCATATGAATGGTCTAATTGTGTGAGCTGGGAGCAGTGAACTCACACAAGATGGTTTCCTGCCTTGGGATCAATATCTTTGACACAGTGATGGAATGGACCGGCAACATCTAGGTTTCTTTCTAATTTCTGCTTGTTTTGTTAGCATTTTGGATATTGACATTAGACTGCATGTCCTGGAAGAAGGGCTGTTTAACTGGGTGTTCTGTGTCATTATTTAAAAGCAAACTCTGATGTTTAAAAAAACTTCAATTTTCAAGTTCTTGTTTTATAATACATTATTTCACGTAAAGTCATGCTAAAGTAAAAAAAAAAATTAACACCTCTAGCATCTGACAAGTTGGATATTGCTATGTTTCCATAACCATGGGATGCATCCTATCAAACCACTCCACTGAGCAAACTCCATTTATGTGGATTTATTAAAATATTCATACCCCACCTTTCCTTTTGGTTGAAATCTGAAAACTTCCTCCAAATTAATTGACTCTTCTATTGGAGGTAGGGTTGCCAGCTCTGGGTTGGGAAATACCTGGAGATTTTGGGGGTGGAACTTGGGGTGGGTGGGGTTTGGGAAGGGGACGGACTTCAATGGGCTATAATGCCAAAGAATCACCTTACAAAGCACCCAGTTTCTCCAGGCAAACTGATTTCTGTTGCCTGGAGATCAGTTGTAATAGTGGGAGATCTTCAGTCATCACCTGGACGTTGGCAACCCTGATTGGAGGCTGTTCTCAGGCTGGAGAAAGACCACTTAGAGGAGGGTGGATCCTCGCCATGCCATTAGTTCAGGTGGTAATGCTTCTGTCCCAGCACCCAATGGGCCATCCTCACTTCCTGCTCAGGCAAAGAGCCGTTGAACAAGCAAGCAAGACCCAGCCTTGCTCAGAAGCTAGGGAGGGAGACATTTTGATGAGGGAACCCCCTCGTCTCAGCACATGGTGAATTGTATTATCTTTGAGATGCTATGAAATGACATGAAAGGTCCATGGGATGTGATGGCTCATCCATGTATGCAAGGCATCAGTTAATGCTGCAGCCATCAGGTGGCATGCACGTGTGTACTCACCCATTTATCTCAAGTAGATCAATGATGTTAATGTTAAGTAGCATAAGACAATAAAAATGTGAAACTTGTAAATGCAAATTGTTTTGCCACAAAGGGCCACTTTACATGTTTCGCTGCAGAAACTGTGTGCTTTCCACCATGTGTGTGCACCCAGGCTCAGCTCAGTAACATATTATTCAATCTGCTTATTAAATGCATGTTATGCTTTTGTGTGTACAAATGTGATAAAAGCATAATGTGCAGGGTTGGATCCTGTGTTTCCTTTCTGTTGGCAGAGGACCCTTCTGTTGATAATACAGGTTCCATTGACTCAAGAGGCACAAGGGGTGATTTTGACCGCTTTCTCTTCTATGCTGCACTTACCTGCTTTTTACTTCACATGGGTTGTTCCTCCACTCCTCGCATTGCCTGGTGCTTACAGGCAATCAGAACAAACTGGATTGGATCCCGTGCAGCAAAGATGAAGACAGTTCTGGAATATTAGACATGCCCTTGATTTGTATATGACCTTTGTCTCCTGTAAAACCAAATAACCAGAATTACACAGAAAGGAGTCAAGATGGTTATTATAAAAGAAAGTGATGAAAAAACACAGCTGTTGAAACTTGGCAGCTAGCAGACTCCTGAAGTCTGATGTTAATAAAATTTGAAGTAATAAAATAAGCTAAGAAACCTGCATTTATTTCCACTGCATTTTCAAGATGATGCAAGCAATTTTAGGAAGAAAGAATTAGATATGGAAGACTAGGAAGCACAGCAATTTTGAAAATAGAAAAGGTGTTTACATGATTTTGCTTCTTAGGACTAAGAGCCTGGGAATTTAGATAAGCACACTGTTGGTATTCCCCATATAGAGAAAGGGAAAAGCTAAAAAAAATCTGGATGTTAGAAAATGAAGAATTACAGTGAGCAGGAAAAAAGAAATATTTGTGCTGTTTTTGCCATAGATGGAAAGTGTTATTTTAATACTGGTAGATCTAAATTGAAGCTTGGTAACTCTCATGTCTGCATAGACTTATGACTGTAGGCTTGGATCCACTGGAGCTTTTCCACAGGGAGACGGATTTCTGCCTGTGGAGGAGGACTTTCTCACCTTCCACTGCAGCCCCAAATGCCCCTTACTTGGGCTGTTCCTGGGAAACATACACTCCATGGGAGGAAATCCTTCTGCCAGTGAAAAAGCTCCAGCAGATGCAAATAAGTGTCTTTAGTGGCCTATGTATTCGTTTTTGAACCGCCAAATAAAACACTACAGCACAGGACCCATGTAGTTTTTAAAATAACATTCTTTGTTTAGAATGGAAGGCGGCAGCTCTACCAGCAAGCAGCTAGATGTATTTACTTTAGAATTTAGATCCAGGTGGGTAGCCGTGTTGGCCTGAAGCAGGAGAACAAAGTTCAAGGCACCTCTGGACTCAGGCTTTGTTCTACCCTGGAATGTATTACTATAGAAAGACATTGAAATTTCGGCTGTCCTTTATGGCAGGCCTAAACGAATTGCAGGCACTAGGTCACCATTGTAGTCTGAAGTTTGCTCGTGGTGCCTAAAGCTCAGGAAGAGGAGGGGAAGGGGGAGTCAGCCCTTGAAAGGAATGCCCTGCCCTGGTAGCAGTTCCCATTACACAGCAGTCTAGTACCTTACAACATTATCTTAAACAAAAAAGGCTTGAGTTTGCAAAAGTTGATGCTGCAATACATGTCTTTTACGTCCTACAGGGTTTTTATTGACATGCTTAGCATGCTGTCCTACCAGAAATCATTAGTTTAGGGCCAGCTGAATCAAGTGATGTGGCTTTTGTCACACAGAACTGTCAGGGTGTATGATGCTTTACGGAGCACAAAAATGCAAGTCCCTGCCCCATGGAGCTTACAATCTTAAATCTGATATACGATTACAAAGAAAGAGGAGAAAATAGGGAGTTGGGGCAAAACTGGGGAAGAATGTGTGTTTATTCCAATGACAGGTACATGGGTTTAGTTCGTGAAGGAGGTTGGGAGGGTTTTCAAGTTTTTCCTGGACTATGCCTCTTCAGAAAGACATCCTCACATGAACAAAACATTTTGTACCTCGTGAAAGGAGTAAAATGACCTTATTCAAGAAGACATTCCAGGGGCTTGGGCCTGCCGTAGTAAAGGCCCTGCTCTTTACAACTGCCTGATGTTATTACCTCTTAGAGTAGAGACTCATCTGCTGAAGTTAGGGTTACCAACTTGTGAGCAGAAAAAATGTCCTGTCCCTTTAATAGAGGCTTACTGTGAAGGAACAGACTGCTGAAGCTTTTTGTGGCATGGAGGTAAACAATAGTACCTAATAAATAATGTCCCATTAATCCTCTCCTAAAGGGACAGGAGGAGCTGCGATGGCTCAAGTAGTTAAGACGCTGAACTGCAGGCTGTGGAAGGTCAGTTGTTCAGCAGTTCGAGAGTTGCCACATGACAGAATGAGCTCCCGTCTCTAGTTCCAGCTCCTGCCAACCTAGCAGTTCGAAAGCAAGAAATTGCAAGTAGATAAATAGGTACCACTTCGGTGGGAAGATAACAGCGTTTCGTGCTCCTTGGTGTTTAGTCATGCCGGCCACATGACCACAGAAACGTCTTCGGACAGCGCTGGCTCTTCGGCTTTGAAACAGAGATGAGCCCCGCTACCCTAGAGTCGGACTCGACTGGCTTTTGAGCAAGGGGACCTTTACCTTTACCTTTTTAAAGGGACAGGACATTTGTTTCCAGACCAGTTGGCAACCTCATTTATAACTTAGAGGCAACATTAAATTTGCTTAATGCTTAAAAAACTGCATTTGGTATGGATGATTGTTGGCTTCTTTATTTGGGGGTTGGCTCCCCCTAAGTCCTAAGAAAATTTGTCAAGGCCTGCCTTATAAACCTTTTCCAGTTTCTCTTTTAATGTTTTTATTTTTCTTCCACCGGCAACTGTTTTCTTCTCTCCTATCAGTTTCCTACATTTAAGACCCCTTTCCTTCCTTGAAGGAAGTTTGGCATTTATTGAAGTTTGGCATTTATTGTATTTCTTAATCATCTTTAACTAGGGACTTTGCAAAATGGCGAGTCTTCGAGTTCTTGATCTAGCAGGAAACAACATTCAGATTTTCCCAACAGCAGTAAGTATGAAAATGAATAAATACCTTACACTGAATAATCTGTAGATTGTGGAAATTACTTGAGTGAGTTTCAGAAACAATGACGCTGTTATATATATAGGAATATGCTGGTATTCATTATTAAAATCTGCTTTATTTGAATTAATTGACATATCATTTATGCACTTATTTGTTTTTGAAATTTACAACTACTCTTCCTTAAAAAAAAAAAAGAAGCCGCCTAAGGTAGCTGACAAACTGTACTCCATGTGTATTCAAAATGCTGTGCATCTCAAAAAACTTTTTACTTGCCTTGTTAAAGGAACAAAAGCCTTACTGGTCAATGAAAAGTAATGCATACAAAGACACATGCGATTCAGAAGTTTCTCACTTAGAACAATGCACTCATCCAGAAGTCTCACTTTGACCTAAATATATATCTGAGCCTGCAGGTCGGGAACAGTTTTACTAGTCCCAGAGTACGGTCTGTAGGCACCAGGTGCAGCATCCTTGCTGAGGAGAAGCTGAGAAGTCTAGGGGTGATCAATGCCTGGATGGGAGGTCTCCATACCACCATTCTGGAAGAAAGGCAGAATATAACTGTAATAGCCACTGTAAAAAGAAATTGAAAATAGCACCCAGTGTAGGCCCGTTCCTTTGATCACATTATGGGTTACATGAGAAGCAAAACCTAACATGGAGATTGTGGGTTCTTCTCTTCTTTACCCATGGTGACCTCTCTGTGGCTGATAGAACATGAATACTGGTACAGAATAAAGGTCTCTGTATATCATATCATGCAAGCTTAACAAGCACTATTATTTTGGTACCTTCTCCAATGTGTTCCAAATTCATTGCATATCACATGAGGATTCTGTGGTTGGAAGTGCTGAAGACATGGGATCACCTGGCAAGCTTCCATAGCAAAGTGAGGATTTGAACCTGGGTCTCCCAAATCCTTGTATGAAACTCTGACCACTACAGCACAGCGGCTTCCCTTTTGAACAGCAGCAAACAGTGAGGCCTCCATGAGTCATACAAGTTGGGTAGCAGCAGTGGTATACCTAGCCTATTTGGCACCCAGGGGCGGATAATTTTTTTAACACCCCCTCCCTCCTCTATTCTGGGCGAAGTTAGAGGCATGCCAGCCCTACCTGATGTCAATATGATGGATACCACAGGCATCAAGGTAGTCTTTATGGTGCAGCAAGATTCCTGGTTATGTAGGGACTCTAGTCCATAAAATAATAAAGAAAATGTGCTGTCCCAGCAGGGTGTATAGAAAAGCATAGCAAGCCGTTTATATTAGTGCAAGAAAAATAAGTCCTGTACCTTTAAAGTAATGCATGATGGGACTTAGGCCACATTGAGACAGCCTTCCTTATTGGTTATAAATAGGTTCCCTTTCCAGGTAGCTAGCCAGCCCACCAAACTCCTTTATTAGTATTTTCCATCCGTTATGTTAGAGATCACTCACGGCAACAAAGATGCACAGAATCATCTCTTTTCACACATGGACTCTTATCACTTATGATGAACTCTCTCACTCATTAAGAAGCTGGATTGCAAATTAATGCACTTATTTGAATGCATGAGGAGCCAAATAAAATGATTTGAGTGAGCCTAGTAGACTTATGTTGATCACTTGCAAACAGGGCTCAACTTCCTGGTAGCCTTGGAGCAGAGACAGTGAGAAGAGGGATGTGGTGTGTGTGTGTGCTCTCCTACTCCCCACCCCCAACTTTTGTGCATTTTGCTTCTTTAGAACTGTGCTGCATTTAGCCATGATTCCCAAACCAAACCTTCCCTTGCACACAAATGTGAGAGGGAAATGAAAAGTGCATGCCAGAGCCTAGAGCTGTGTTGGTGCCCTGTATTTGGCCATGCCTCCCTAACCTTCCCTTGTGTGCACATGTGAGAGGGAAAGGCATGCACCGATGCAAAGTAAATCTGCTAAATGCACAGCACTAGCCTCAATTCAAGCTTGGTGGCTGGGCTCTTTGGACTCTGAAAGGAATCCCTCAGGGATGGAGATGATGGTAACCTGGGGCGGGTCACCCCCCCAGACCCTCTTGGTATGCCACTGGGTAGTAGCAAATCTCCTGATGGTTGCTGTTGGTTCTGGCCCCAATGAGTCCTCCCTCAAAGGCCAAAACATCCCTGGAAAGGGTCTTTCCCCTCCCTCACCTTTTACTGACAGAAACCAAGGCTTGAAGGTTGAAAATGTTGTTATGGTTGCCCAGCAACAGCCACTGGGGGCATTCAAAGCCAAAGGAGTTACCTCTATTATTTTGGGGGTTTTTAACCCCCCCCCCTTTTAAAGATTTGGGGTGTGTGTGTGTTTTTGTGGGTTTTTTTTTTTTTGCAAATCGGGATTTTTTGAGATTTGTAGAAAGATCTGCCCTTTTTTTCATGACCCCAGTCTCTGGATTTAAGTGTCCACAGATGGGACCATGTTGGGAATTTGATATATTGATTGGTGTTTGAATATGTGATTGCAATAATATCAGCAATCACCTGAGGGCAGTACTAAATTATGTTAAAGGCTCAAATGTTCATGTTTCTTCAAGTATAGTACAGAAAATACTAAAAAGAAAAAAATTCTAAGGAACAATTGTTGTCATGATTTTGTAGTATAGATGGGACTATAAAGATTTCCCTCTTTTTTGATTATTCATATTTCTCTGGTTTTTATAGATTTATTATTAAATAAGATTTTACTGGGATGTAATGAAGGCCTGTTAGATAGAAGGCCTCTCTTTCTTTGTAGGTCAGGGTATTTTTCCAGCTGATGTTAACAGACAAGACAATAGCATTCTTTTGGTACAGAAGAAGGTATAAGGTTTATGGTTCTAATTGTTTAGGTTATAATATAGTATCTGGGTCAAAAAGGATTTTTAACTCCTATCAGAGAAAAACACCTTTGTTTGGGTGAGAACAAGCCTTGGCCGATACTACTCAGGTCAGGTCAAGTAAATACGTGACGCTATTGTAGAGACACACCTTTCTTTACATTTGACCAATAAGGAGATTTTTATTTAAATGTTGTTTAATGTCTTGTAACCAATTATGCTTTTTGAATATTATTTTTATGATGATGGTATAATGATGTCATATTAAGTATTTAACTTCATGTATTTCCTGATTGGGCTCAGAAAGCAGTCAGTTTTGGTGGGTTATTTGGCCTAACTGTTTTCTGTGTTTGATTGCAATTAAATACAAGATCTTCCTCCTTATTTTGACTTCAATCTCCTATTTTTGACTGGATATTAATTTGTATAACAATTTTGCATCGATAGCCTTTGAGTCTGGTACAGCAAATACTGGAATCTGAGTGTAATATATGAGCACAAAACTATTGCCTACTTTGAACAAATATATGTGTTACATAGCAAACGACTGGTGTTTCTAATAGCAGCATGGACAACATACCTGTATGTATATGAGTTTTAAAGAATATGTGTACATAAGAATATGTCATCTCTATTGTTGCAAGAGTACAAGAATATACATGTTTCCGGTTTTGATAACAGATAAGCCTTACCACAAAGTTAGGTGAGGCGGCTATCTTAGAAGAAGATTTTGGACAGAATGGGATCAGATAGATCTGACCAACTTCATGGGAAGTGTTGAGCAAGCACTATTAAAATAAATACTGCTCTTGTGCAGTATTTGTGCATTTCAAGGAGACTTGTGCAAGAGAACTTCCTAGCAGATGGTGTTCCATGTTAATTAGAAGAAAGAGGCCACCCTTTGAGTTTTCCAACTCATGCAACAAAAAGATTTGCTGTGGCCCTGTTTGATAATGCAAGAAATCTCTGAGCATGATTTTCATAGCACGCTGAACAGTATATATACTAATAATACTCCTGCTAGGAATAGAATAGTAACTGTACCAGTGGTGACATGGCTACCTGGATCATTCATAATATAAGCCAGGATAGTCTTGTCATCAGCTGTCTTTCCAACCCTCCAACTGCCATCACTGAGGGACTTAGGCTAAGGTCATCCCTGCAGTTGTATGCTTAATGAATGGCAGAATGTTTTAGCTCAGGGTGACCATAATTTAGGTTTGAGGGATCTATTCCAGGGTCTGCCAGCTGGAGCCGGTTGTAAAGTCACAGCTACCTGTTGCGGCATAGCTGTTGTACACTTGGCCCTGGGGTACTTGCCTGTGCAAATACAGATTAACATCTGAGTTCCTATACATCAAGGATTCCAAATCAGACCCTAAAAATACTATACAAAAACCTGTTCAAGGCAACCAATTAATACTGCCATTGTACGGGGTGAAGAATACTGAATCTGAGGGATGTGTGACTGTCCCTTATTATTCAGATGCTTAAGCAGCTGTTTATGCCACATTCGTACTTATAACTTTACAAAGGAGGAATGGCTGCAGTGTAGCCAACTAGTCTAATAGCTATAGCAGTGGGGGCCAACCCTTGCACAGGTGGGAACTTGAAAGAGTGCACATTGTCAGTTAAATAAACTGATTAAGGGTTAGAGCATTGTATTTAGGAACTGACATACTGGATAGAGAGAGGAGGAAGTGCTAGCTACATGGCTGGAGGGAGGGCAGAGTTCTTAGAAGAAGGAAAAGCAGCTTGAGAAAAGCATTCTGGGGACACACAAGGAAATTCCCATCACAGATATAGCCAGAAATATTGGGGTACAGTTGATGGTCTTGACTACAGAGATCATGGCAGATGGTTCTGCAAGTGACTGACCTGGCTTCATGCTAAATAGGGAGTCCAGAGAGACCCTGAATAGAATAAAGAACAAAGGAATAAAGACACTAATATAGCAGGAGAAATAGTATAATTAGTATTAACAGATGTAGTGTGTCTGGGACCTGGAGAAGTGTCTGAGAATGGCAAGACTGTCCAACTGAATGTAGAAATTAAAATATAGTTTGAAGGGTGATTGAGGGCCAACATGTAATCAATCATACGACACACATGTATATCATATGGCAGAGTTACACACAGGATGCATATAATAATATAAAATATATAACC